CCACCCCCCCCATAGCCCTGCGTGGGCACTCTGTGCCCATGACCGTTCCGCATCCTCGACCGTGCCCATCTCCGGGCGCCTCCTCGTCCCATAAAGGGATACAAGGCAAGTGAAATGCCCAGCCACCCCATTTGCCATGTCCCCAGCAAGGGAACCTTGTGGGGGGCGGCTGTGGCCCAGGGGACAGTGAGGGGACAGCACGCAGCTCACCGGGACAGGGACAGCAGGAGGCCGGGCTGCTTGAGACACCGCGCAGGAACGCAGCAGAGAGCCGGGCCCTGCCCCAAGGGCTTCCGATCCAGGTGTTAATTAGCAGCAAGAATGATTCCCTTATCCCGCACCTGGAGGAAGCTCATCCAGCCCCATGGGGAGACAAGAACAGTGGCCCCACGGTGGGGGGTGACGGTCCCCGACTTGCAGCTGAGGCCACCCCAGTCCCGCAGGCTCCACACTCACTGCGGGGGCTCCGATGCTGCAGGGCCCGCAGGGCTCCTGGGGCTCCACAACGGCCCAAGCAGGAGCCTGGCTGCCTGGCCTGGCATTTTCAGCCCTTTCCAAAGCAGCCCCCACATCCCTAGCCCCAAACAGCAGGAAACAGCGTGACAGCAAGTGAAAAATATCCAGTGTTGGGCCCCTCTGCTCACTGCGCTCACAGATGGACACACAGGAGCGGGCACACAGACATGCGCACACACCAGGGCACACGCACAGACACGTGCACAGCCCCATGGGTGCACATACTGGTGCTGCGCATGCACAGCCCCACACACATGCAGGGGCACCCGTGTGCATGCACACGCGTGTGCGGAGCAGCCCCCTCCCCTCCTATGCCTGCGGTGGCCGCGGCCCGTCTGCGCTGCAGCTTTGGTGGCAGTGGCAGGAAGCAGCGATGGCCTCTGCACAAACAAAGCCGGTGCAGGGCCGGGCGCAGACTGGGCGGCTCCAGCCCGCACTGCGGCCCTTCGGCTCGATGGGGACATGGGGAAGGGGCTGTGGCCACACTCGCTGCTGCTGCAGCGGGGTCCCAGCACAGGGTGCACAACCCGGCTTGTGTAACCTCCTCAAGGTGGGCTCTGCACATGCCAGCCCGTGCGGGAAGCCACAGCCCCGTCCTGCATCTCTGCATCCCTCTGACCCTCTTCCCTGCACCTCTCCATTCCTGGCTTCCTCCATCCTTCTCTCCCTGCATCCCTTCCTCTCTCCTTCCGTGCCTCCTTTCCTTCATCCCTGTGTCCATCTGCCCCTTGTCTCCACGCATCTGCCTGTATCCCTCCATCCCTGCATCCCTCCATCCATCTGTCCCTGCATCCCTTCATCCCTCCATCCTTCTGTCCCCGCATCCCTGCATCCATCTGTGCCTCTGTCCCCGCATCCCTCCCTCCCTCCACGCGCCCTCCGCGCCGGCGGTTCCCAGGGTGGCCCCAGTGCTGGGGTCGCCCCCTGCATTCAGGGCTCCGCGGAGAGCCTGGTGCCGGCGCGGTTCCCACCGCGGCTATCAAAGGCGCTAATTAGCCCCCATCTGGCGGCGCGGCCCCCGCGCGGGGCGGCGCGCGGGGACATTGTGCGCAGG